GATTATAATTTAGATCAACTATTTAATATAAATATCAATAATATAAATATGGCAGCTAATCAAGCGGACATCCAAAATCTTACAACAGCATTATAAGACTTACAAGGAGCTTTACAACCTGTAGGACTAGCAAACGCTAATAATGGATTGGCTAATTTAAATGCACAGTTGCAGGCTAATAAATGCAATTGTAGCAAATCCACTATGAAGAGAAACAAGGGTAGTTGACTTACCATATTTTTATGGCGGAAACTAAGATCCTATAGGATGACTAAGGTTGCTGGACGAAATCAAGAGTTTATACAAACGTCTAAATAGTAAAAGTAAAACTTGGTTAAATTATATTAAAACCTTATTAAAAATCTGCAAAATTTGAAAAAAGGTAAAACTATATCAAAGCTTATAAAAATGGCGAAACTATACAAACACTTAGTAAAAATTTAGCAAAACTAAAAGTTTTACCGTTTTGCCAAATCCAAAATGAGTTTAGACAAGCAACCTTAAGGATGACTCAAAGGGTTCACTCGAGCCTGCAATACAAATAGTATCAATGATGGCAGAAAACTTGAAATTGTACCAGCATATCTCAAGAATGTAGTATCCACTTGGTGAACCACTAATCAGGCCCTTGCTAACGAAGACCTTAACAGAATTGTAGTATGGACTGGAAATAATAACAACACTGACTTTACAGCTAATTTTCCTAATGCTTTTAGGTCACAAACGCTTGTTGAAATCTGGATAACCGAATTGGAGAAGCGACATCAGCAACCTGGAGAAAATGTTGACGACTATGCTTGTGTTCTACTTGAATTATACAGGAGAGTAGAGACTCCAGCATTCCAATATCCTGATATGATGAAGGCTAGACGTCTTGTAAATGGATTGGTCCCTGAATTGCATCTGCTTGTAAAACTTTTCAATGATCAGACATGAAACGCTGTTCTCAATCGTGCTAAGCAATATGAACTTGCTTATAAGAACACAGCTTCAGTAGAAGCTTACATGAACAAGTACACCTTAACTTCATTAAATGCTAATGCACAAATAGGTGTTCTAAATAATGCTATAGCGAGTCTTATACAACAAATCCAACAGACAAATTTAGGAGGACAAGAAATAATTCAGGATATCGATAAAATAATAATCGACAATTTTAGCAGTTTAAAACTCCAAATGTAAATCAAGCAAATCAACCCTAACGATAAAATAATCAAAGAGGAACTGGTATAGTTTGTTTCGATTATAACCAACCAGGTCATATCAGAAGGAATTGTCCTTTAAGAATCCTTAATAATAATAATAATAATAATAATGTCTTCAATAATGTATCTCCAACAAATCCAATACAAAATAATGTCATAGCTTCAGTTGCTAATCCAGTTAATCCCATTAATAATACACTAAACAATCTAAATGCAAATAATAATGTTCAAGCATTACAGTTATTGGCACAGTTACTTGGTCAAACTGCTGAAGATGATCAGACTCAGCATTTAAACTAAATAGTGTACCTCCTGAGGGTAAAGGTACGAAATCAATTGAAACTCCTTCTAATTTGTCACTTATAGAAATATATATAAATAATAAAAGAAGACGAACCGCAGGAGAATTAGTAGAAGAAAAAATCAGAGAAAGGGAGCAACGACAACTAAATACTGTAAACAAAAGAACTCAGCAAAGCCTAAAGTAAAAAGAAAACTACAGCTTAACCTCCAGTTGTACATATAGTCGATCCTTACACACCACAACAGTTCTTTAACCAAAAGGCAAACATAATTAATGGTCAGTTGTTTGCTATGAACCCTAAGTTTACGTAAAATGTAATCAAACAATTAAAAAGCTAGTTGCTTGTAAAGTTAATAAAGGAAAGGAATCTGTACTAGGAGAAACAAATAAAATACCTATAGCCCCTATAGATGTTAATGAAAATGAAGGAGAAGCTTCCAATACATATGATCCTATAGAAGAAGAAGATATGCTCGCCCAAACAAAAAGATATCAAAATAGTACCCCAGAAAGAAAATTAACAGCTTTTTATTGTCAAGCATATATAAAAAATAAAGAGATATAATTGATTGTTGATTCAGGATCTTCTAGTTGTATTATTTCTTTAAGACTAATTAATATCAGCTAAATTATAAATTGAAGATTTTTAACAATTTGATTTTAAAATTTGTAGTAAATTATACAAAGATTGTATAATAATATTTGGTTTTTGATATTATATATTTTTTATCATTAGTTTATTAAATAATATTTTGATAGATTAATAGAAATTTATCATTATTTCATATGTAATAGTTCTTGATTAATCTTAAGAATACTTTTTTCTCTTTTGATTGCTTTTTATTTATTTACAGAATGTTGTTATGATTCGAGTTTTCTTTGGAGATTTTTGACATCTTCTTCACTTTATAACAGACTAGCTACTACCAACTTATATAATATTGATCCTTTAATCCATTCAATAGATGATAAATATTCTAATTGATACACTTTAATTAATAAATACATCTCCAGTAGCCATAATATTCTTTGCGAATAGTAACTACTCATTTTTTGGCAATGATAAAACTTTATTGAAATCTTTTACTTTAACCAAATGGAGTTGTCAAACAGTGCCTGGTTGAACTTAGTTTAATTTTTTATTTTGCATAGACTTCTTGTATGTAATTATATTACTTTACTTGTTTTGTTAATAAAATTTAAGATGCACTACCACATCGAATTCAAAAATGCAAAAAAATGCTATGCTCCCTCTAGTCTGAAGAGCCTCTATTGGAACTTGGTGATATGGAATATCTGTGCTAGGTGGTTGCTGTAATCTGGAATTAACTAGACAGCTTAGCTAGGAACTTAATAGAGTCATTTATTTTTATAACTTTCTATATGTACCTATTTCCCTTCTTTGTGAAAGTTTTGGCGAGCAGTTGTTATTTTATAGTTGGGATCAAAGGACACATAGAAAACTTGTTGCTGTAGTTACTGCTCATTTTGGCGGTGGTGAAATTTTGTTAAAATAAATATTTTGGCTTGATGGAGTCGCCCGGTAAATCTTAGTTTAATCCTGGTTATTACTCAGAGATAGTATCTTTTACTTAGCAAAACTTCTGGTATTTAATTGATTTATTTACTTATTATGTCAGTAAAGTTTAAAGATGCATTACCGCATCGAGTTTAATAATGCAAAAAAAAAAAAAAAAAAAAAAAAAAAACGCTATGCTTCCTCCTTGTTATTCCATATGAAATTACGGATAACGAGATATAATCACGTGAGCGTAATCGCTGTGATCATGCATAAACCCAGATATCTGTATATGATGTATATACCTGTGGAATTCTCACTTTACTCTAGAAATGTTTTTTACCACCCTTTTATGTTTTTTTGTAGTAAAAGAAGCAATTAAACATCTTTTTTTAAAAAAATAATATTACTTTAAAAGTGAATAAACTGATATTGAAGAATAAGAAGCAAATTAAGTCTTCAATTATCAATTATTCAGAAATGAAAGAATACATCAACTTCGAAAACGTGACATAAATAATGAATCTAATTTTTTAATTCATTTTTTAATTTCTTATTTCAATTATTACAGTTATTAAATTATATTAAGTGACAAGAATTCAAAGATAAACTAACTCAATACAACTATCTCAAATAAAAAAAGAGAAGATCCGAGTTTAATACAAATTTCTAGTTATTTCTTGTAAAGTTAAACGCACACGTTCATATTTATTACTAAATTAAATTTTAATAAACGATGTTCTATATCGATTTTCGTATATATACATGTAAATACTTGTATAAACCAACGGAATAAGTGATAAGAAATTCCACCGGTGTATACCCCCGGACTTAACAACGGTTTCTGTTCTATCCCGTTCCCTAGTAATAAAATTTTAATATACAAATTTTAGTATTTTCTATTGATCAAAATCAATTTATTATAGCCTCTGAGCCCGATTTTAATAGCAAGCTTCCATTAACAAATCAATACAATACCACCCGTTTACAATTACTCGGATTTTTTATTTTCATATCCAAATGTCTAATTTAAAATAAAAAAACGCGGTTTGAATCAAAAAATTTTGCAGTAAAGATTATTGCAATATATTTGCCTTTCTAATAAGAATCACTAAAGGTGACGGGAATAAAAAAAAAATTATGAAAGGTATATTATGATCTGTGCTACTCAAAATTTGACGTTCTGTAATGCATATGCAATGCATGGTTTTCTAACGATTGAATGAATAAAGTTCATTGTTTCACCGCATAAAACTTGATTATATATTATGTAAATATAAAATAATATACTTGTTTCTAAATACTAGGATTTGCGAAATCTATTTGAGGATCCAATGATTACTATTTTCAGTCACGCTTTATGTGAACAAAATGGGCGAAACAAAGACAAAAAAAAATAATCTATTTTATTGTGTAAAAACTCTTTGTCTTTCGCAAGCCATTTGTTATTAATTTATCGCATCGCAGATGATCATTTTCAGCTAAAGATTTGTTTCTAAAAATAGAAAAAAAAAAAATATTCAAAAATTTTTTAGAGTGCAATAAATTGATTTTAATAATCTATTTTCTTTTTATAATAATACATTTCAATGACTTGATCATTCATCGTCGAAAGACTAAAATCGTCCATGTTTCAAGAATACTGTATTTACTACTAGATTTTCTACTGTTCTTATGATTACCGAAGTGATTAATAATGTCACGGTATACAAATTTTCAGAAGATGTCGTCGACGAAATCCCATTTCCTGGCATGCCTATATATAAAAAAATGAACAATTGCGTGATAAATTTATTAAATAATATATTTTTTATTTATTTCCAGATATGGTATTTATGGCTTCAATGTGGAATGTCGGTTTATAAGTAAATTATTAAAATAATCTTTTTTAAAGAAAAAACTTGGAACGTTATACAATATATAATCTAAATTCATCGATGTAATTATCCGCTTAAATACTGTAGTAAAGTTTATGGCTATTGACTCAGGTAATAATAACAATATTTTACTTTAAATTTTTGATGGCAAAATCAATAAAATATATGATATATAGATTATGATCCTTTCAAATCTAATTCCATGTTTCGTATGTATGTACATATATGTGTCGCTAATTAAATTATTGATTATATCAAATATTAAAAAATTTATTTTTAATCATAACAGGGAGCATACCTTACCTGATGAACTATATTTGACCCAACATACTTAATTCAATGTTGTGTGCATTTACCTGTAATAGTCGCAAATTTTTCGTCCTTGCAAACTTATTGTTATAGGACAGTCAATTATCCCTCTCCTCAAGGGAGTTAAAGAATTGCAAGATTGCTTGACTTCACTTGAAATGTTTTTAAAGGAATATGTTATAGATGTAGAATATTTGGAAAAATCAGAGAAAATGGATCCAAAGTGAATGGAGTGATGGTAAAAAATAATTTATCTCTTTATTGTTGTCACTTAGGAATGGAAGTGTGACACTTGGGTTTATCAATATTTTTTTATACAATTACAATTATCATAAAAATGACTCATATTAACCAATAAAAAACATATCTCGTAATTACTTAATTCACACTGGCAATAAAATCTTAGTTTCGACCTGAATTAAAAATCTAAAAATAAGAACATAACGCTGAACCACTGTGATACCAAATTCTTGCTGTCGTAAGAAGGCTAATTGATTATATCATAAACACATCTATTAAACAATCAGCTTTTATTGTCTGAATGAACTAATTAATTACATATTACCATTTAAAGAGTGACCATAAAAGATATAAATATTTACTTTTTACAATAGAACATATTGTTACGTTTATTATGATATTCAAGTATAATTTCGAATGCAAGTCGTGGTTTTTTTATACTATCAAAAATTAATTAAATATCTAATAAACAAGGAAACATTTGATAATGTTTTGTTTTTATTCAATGAGATATTTTGTGCGACGTTTCGATGTGATATCTGTTATCACGCTGAGCGAAACATTTCTGAGAGATAATAATAGAATTACTTAAATATGCCTAATAACTTGCCGTTTTCGATCTGCGGCGCTGAAATAATTAAAGCAACTTTTCAAGTTGTACTGACATAATTAAATGGGATTGAATGTGATTTTTTGGGGGTAAAAGGAATCATTTCTATTTATAATCAAACTTAAACTTATTTTTAGAATTCAGGTTTCATAGTAAAAAATAATCCCTTCGTTACATAGATCATACGATTTTCACCGACACATCTAACTCAAGGAATTATGTTTTTTCTCATGTTAAACTATTATGATAGGTTTCCAATTTCAAACAAGGTTATTTTCTAAATTATAGGAACCGGAGAGCTCAATGTTTTTTAGCATTTTAATTTTTTCTTGTAAAAAATAAAAATAACAATAAACAATAATACAATAATTCGTAAAGCTAAATTGGGTTAAGCATTTATCATCTCCCGTTCCGTGGGAATCAGATGTAAATTTCGTTGATATATGGTTGGTATTCTAGATGTTATTCTGAAGTTTTCGTGTTACTATAAATAACCCATACAGCATTGTTGAATAGAAAATACCTTTTGGTTAGAAGCAAATTTTTTTTATAAAAAAATTATACACTAAAATAGTTTAGATTTACTTATAATATAGTTTCTATTATTAAATCACCTAAAATAGTTACTAATTTATTTAATTTCGTACGGCAACACCAATTCGAAAGTATAAAGATTTGGCAGATAATCAGAAAGAATTATCGTTAAAAATAATTAAAATAAAAATTATCTCTAGAAGAATTAGAATCATTTTTATATGTATGTACATCAAAATCCATTCTTTGATGAAATTGATGAAGTAATTGAGAAATAATAAACATTAACAGTGATAACTTCCTTCATGATATTTTGGATTTCGCTTACTAAACGTCTTCAGCCCAACGTTTCCCGTCCTTAAAATATTATTTTAACCAATTTAAACACATAAGAAAATAATAATTTAGTAATTTGATAGAAGCAAAACAAAACGTGTAGATTACATTGATTATAGAGGTCGTGAGAAAACCGACAGATTAAATTACGCGTCGATTGATCACGGTGCTAATTAGGTAAATAAATTTATGGACGTCAACTAACTTACTAAATTTGGGTTGACAATAAGCATGAGATCTTTTTATTAGTGGAAAGACTTTCCTTAACATTCGCTTCATTCGCTTCTAATTTTAGCATTAGAATGAAAATACTTAGTTGGCGGGTGCTATAGAATTACTAGATTAGTTCTATGAGATCATAGAGAATACCAAATTATATACTCTTTGTAAATAATTTTCTAATTTAGCTTAGATCATTTTCAATTACTATTTAAAGAATTCGATCCTGGTAATTTTCATTAAATGACATCAGTCTATGAAAAATTCTTGAATATAAATTAAATATCATTTTTTCATTTATTGTTAACTAATTTTTTTTTATTAGTTCAATTAGAAAGGTTTTTTAGAGCACCCGGGGAAAAAAATAGTTTTAACGGTAAATGTAAAAGCACGAAAAAAAAAATTTTTTTTTCTTTTTTTCGTTCTTTAGATCAATAAAATACAATAAAATAAATAATAAAAAAAAATATATAAATATACACGATTTCTTGGCAATTTTCAATATAAAATTCAAATTCAAGTTATTTACATGAAGAAATAATTTTTTTATATAAATGCACAAATATGAAATCAAGGACTATTTTGTTTTTGGTCGTTTTTCTCTTGGCATCATCATACGCTTATCCATTAAAATCACCAGATATTGATGGTACGTTTTGTTTATTATTATTATTAAGGGCATTTTTTAGTTCGATTTAAATGAATTTTTTATTTTTTTCTCAAAATCAAGTGTTAATAGGATCTATAATATTCATACGGTAATCGCGACATCACACCAAAATATGATTAAAATGAACTCCTATAATTTTGACTATGAACCTTTCAACCTACTTGATCTGTTATTAAAATTATACATTTTGACCTTTAGTGGGATTTTGTTAATAGTTATCTTTAAAAAATTAAAAATTTTTAAGCCAAAGGAAAAGGAAATAATTCATGTTGCAAGATTTAGAATAACTTTAAAGAATCAAAATTTTTTATTAGTTTAATTTTTATTTTACAATGCATTATTTTTTTTTCTGTATAGAATTCCCTTTTTTTACCTGTTTTGTATTGTTTTATTTTAAATCTAATTTGTAAATAACTTCCTTTTTCATTGAACAATAAATGAGTGATTTTCACGTTTTTAACCAATAATAATAAATTAAATTCTTAAAAAAAGACCGTCCCACTAAAAAACTTGAATTCATACATGAATAATCAATATGAAAGACGGTCGATATCAATTTGATTAACGAAGAGGATTATTAATGTGATAATAAATAAACCTGTTATATATTATTCCGTAAAATTTCGAGAATAAAAAATATTTTCAATTTATTAAAAAGTTAATTGCCTCGTTGCAATTTCTATAACCTGCAAAAGAAAAAAAGTTATTTAATAAAGGTAGTAGTAGGTCATACGTGTGTCTGTGACAAAGCGTCGACATAAAGTATGAATTTTCACGTGATTACTTATTTTAAACGCCTCGCCTTTTAGTACATATTTTTAATACATGAATAGTTGATTATTTTAATATTATTATTTATTATTATTTTTTCCTTTTTTTAAAACTATAATTACTTCAATATTTCCTATATGACCTAATAAATTATCACAAACTAGATCCATCCAATGACTGAAGACTAGTGCTCCGTAAGGGTCGGGTCGGGTCGGGTTTGAAGCAAACTCGAACTCGAACTCGTTAATATTTACAGGACCCGAATTCGACTCGACCCGATTATGGTTTAACTCGTATTCGACTCGAATTTTAAGGTAATATTCATACCGAAAGTAAAAAAATTTTTTATTTATGTATATAATGAAAAATGTGTATTAAATTTGAAAGTTTTTTATTTTAAAGTTCTTTGGTTGTACATTAATTCAAATTCAGATTTTTTAATATAATATTGGCTCCAGGAATTCGAACGCACAGTTGCAAATTTATCGGCTTTAAGTCTCAAATCATTCAACAGGAACACTCGATGTTTATTAAAATAATTTCATTTTTATTTGGATGATTGCGCTCTAAATAACGACATAATTTTGTTGTATTTGAATCACCAATATTGCGGAGCCACGTTTTATGTCCACTAATTTTGAAAAAAAAAAAAAAATCAAACTATAATATACTCTATTTAAAATGATACGAGCATCTAACATCTCGATGTGTTTTTGAATTTATATTCAGGTGGAAGAAGTTTCTCTTCAAAAGCTCTTTGGCAAAAGTTCGCTTCGCAATTATTTTCGATTTCCAATAGAAGCTGTATTATCGGAATTTATAAGGTCGATAGTTTCACTAGTTACGAATTAATAGCATCACCTGATCATTCGGGTCACCCAGGTCAAGCAAAATCGGACTCGTGACATAAAATGATAGTCCCGACTCGAATTTTTTCTCGAGTCGGGTTGAATGACCCGGTACTATTTTGTATCAATTTTGGAGAATTGCAAAAAATAAAAATTAATGTAAACATGCATTTCATTAAAGATTTACATTAATTAATCTATTCATTTCATAATTTTTGTACGACTTATTATATATTTTTTTTTTGACAAAAATATTTATCAACAGATAATCGCTATCATTAGAATTGTTGAGAAATCTTTTCGTAACAAGATAGTTTATTCTTAACATGTAATGTTTTTTGATATTCACGCTAAACACGTAAAAAAAATTTTTTTTGTACAGGGACGTTACATAATAAAAATTCCATTTTTTATTAAATTCATTGTGCAATAAAGAATCCTTCAGGAAAATCTAACTAATAGGTAAATAAAATAATTCCGAAATAATGTATTGTGAGGTTATGTGGCGCATATGCCAAAAGAATATGTCAATCGTCTGTACATGAAACTCATCTTTAGTTGCACACAAATTCAGGGGTGAGAATTTTCTCTTATAACATGGAGGCTTTTTTGATTTTGCCACAAAGCACCCACGGGTAATATACCGCTTAGACATCATCCAAATTTGTAACCCTAATGACCTCGCATATGCTAATCCTATCCATAAATAGATTGATATACTGTTATTTACATTTTCGGGGTTTTTTTTAATCGCGATTAGTTGGTTTGTTTATAAATTATCAAAACGGAAAATCAAACATTTAAAACAGTTTTTTAAATCATTTCTAGGATTAATGTTATTTTTTTATTTATAAAACTTTTTATTATTTTGTTTTGATTATCATTACTTTATTTGAATAGGTAAGTAAACTGTTTTTTTGCTTACGTGCGTTCATCGATTTTATAAGAAAGAGATTAAATGAAAAGTTATGTAATAAACTTTTTCTTTATACATTAGTATGAGCACAGGTTTTTTTTCAAATTCATATAAATCTGGAATGAATTGTATATGATTTATTAATTTTATTCAAGAACCGTAAGTACCGTAAGTAACCTTTTACAATCGAAAGGAAAGGAAAACTAACAAAAAAAAAAAAGAATTAACGCTCTCTTTCGAGTGCAATGGGCTCATTTAAATATCAATGTCCCGTTATAATTCTACCAATATAAAGGAATAAAAAAAAAAGTCGGGATAAAACCCGTCAGCCATTATTATTTTTTTGGTACCGTCCTGTATAGTTCCCGAGTATTTAATAAATTTTACAAAATGAATATTTTTAACACGTTTGCTCGAATATCTCAGCATCCAGTGATCCGCAACACATAAAAGTGAAAAATCCCGAATTTATATTGTATAACTTTTCAATTGGTTTTAAGGGATGGGGCTTTGCAAAATGAATTATAAATATTTGTTGAGATGTGGCTTCCGATCTTTTGAATCCGATCGAAATTTTTTTTTTTTTTTAAAAAAAAAAGGCTGCGTTTCAAATTAAAATATACGACCCTCATTCTAGTAATTTTTATTTTATATTATTATTTTTTTTTTTTAAAAAAACCAAAACGTTGCGAAAAAATTGATAAGATTGATTCTTAGTTAATTTAATAAATAGTAGTAGGAAAAAATCTATAAAATAAAATATGTAATCTATATTTCCTCAAAGCTTTCAGTTCCAAGTTTCCTAATAATGCCTAACTTTTTAAATTTCTCGATTATTTTCATATTCTCATCATTTACGTATAAACTGATATCATCATTAAATACGAAAACGATGATGAGAGAAAGTGATCTTTGTGGTATACGGTCACTCCAAATTGTAAAAAATGATTCCAACTCTTCCGGGAGTAACTTTGATTGCGTATAATTATCCACCTTTAATTCATAAAAATTTTTTGGAGAGTATTTTGAAACTACATCCAACATTTCTTTCTCACCTAAATATTTGGCACCGCAAACTATCTTAATACTTTCTAAATGTTGACAACTATTAAATACTACTTTTAAAGTTTCTATTTCATTCTTCATGAATATTAAATAAAGCTTTTTAAGGTTCGGACAAGATTTAGCTACAGCTAGATTTAATGAATTGTCATGATAACCAACGTAAAATTCTGTCAAATTCTTTCCATTGATTTCCAAGAATTTTATCAACATTTCAACCTTTGGGAAAGCATATTGAAATTTTAAAATCTGTAAATGTGGAAATTTAACGTATTGTAATTTATTAAAATCTAGTATATCAGTATCATCAAATGATAAAATAATTTCTTGTAAATGTGTGAAAGTACTTAAAAATGATAATGGCATATAAGCATCATACCCAAACATCTTAAGTTTTGTTAAAGGAAATTTGGCCAAGGAAGTTATTATTTCCGTCCAATCATTCTCACCACCATAAGCCGCTATCAAAGTGACGTGTTGTAAATTCTTTTGCAAAGAAATTAAATCCGCCAAACCATTTGAAATGACATTTTCAAACGTTATGGTTAATGCTTGAATATTATGACATATTTGTGATAATTGATAAAAAAACTCGGAACAAATGTTTGAATCACAGCTAAATATTGATAGGTTGGCTAAACATCCCTTTGCCCCAGGAAAATAAGTGAAAAGTATGTTTTGAACCGTTTTTGAAATTTCTAAATCATAATCCAAAGATTTTAAGGATGAAATTTGACTCATATACATCTTTAAAATCTCCTGTAGTACCAAGTATTTGTTAAAGTTTAAATTATGTGAAGTTGAGTATTGTTGCTTTTCAACGGAATAACGAATCATTAAATCCACTTCACGAATCGAAAGATTTTTACAAAACGATGCATAATTAAACAATGAAGGTTTCCAAGCTTGAGCTGCGATGAAAATTCCATTCTTATAAAAAAGTTCTTTGGATTCATTAGGAAGGCAAGCGATTAAAGTATTGAAAATTTGTGATGGCACATCCAATCGGTATTGAATGGGAATGGTGTATTTAAAAGTCCAAACGTCCCTCCACAAGATCCTGACCGAAACTCCGCACCAAAGACGATCAACTAATAAACATGAGTGTAAAGTAATTTTATCTTCCTCTAAATATTCAAAAATTTCGTTAAGGCAATCAGCGGGAAGTTGACTAGTCATGTTTGACATTTATAAAAAAAAAAAAAATTATATATTTAATTGTGTAATAAAGAAAGAGAATGTGAAAGAAGGTGCCTTTTTACTAATTATTGTTCATTTATAACTTGAAATTTGCAGCTGGTACTACCGATTTATATATGTATTTGGCCATTATTTGGTCTTACAACGTTTTCGTTGTATGCAGGGTGACACAATGTGGAATCGTTACTGTTCAGGTTCAAAGTTTTTTTTTGTTTTCATGATTTAATCATGTGACGTACCAATGGTACCAATGGTGTTACGTAATACCATGAACGATCTGTAGTAATTGATTAAAAAAAATGTGGATAACAAAGAAATAGATTTAATGTAATAATGTAATAAATTAATATGCATAATTATTATTTCTCAAAATTCAATAAACCTTGTTTTCAAATTTATATTTAACTTTAGTTTGTTATTTAATTCTTAAACACACGTTTATACTTTGCTACGTGTTAATATAAAAATCGAACTGCCTCGGTCATGTACTCCATTGAATGCTTAAGCTTTGTAGTATTAAAATCCAAAGAATACATTTAAAATAAGCGTAAAAATGTATGTCAAATAAATTAATATCTTATATGCTGTGGTACTGCGGTTCAAATTTCAAGTGACTTCATTTACTATTATTATCATAAAACTTAAAATTAAATTGTCAAATACCTACAGTAACTGCTAATATCTTTCTAATTAATCATGAAAAATTAAATTAATTGATAGATTTTTAACTAGACGTATTTTTTTTTAATGTAATAATATATATATCGTTTTATGGTAAATGGGTCATGGACCCTCCGAGCCTTTTGTCAAAAATTTTTTTTTATGATTTTATAAAAGCTGAATATGCTTAACTATAAGATAATCTAATTTTTTGAACATAAACGTATAATAAATTATCGAAATATTTATATAAAACTTTCTTTTTCAAAAAAGATCGACAATAATTTACCAGAGGGGCATTTATGACCCAAATATGGAAAAAAAAATAATAAATTATATATTTTCATTTTGTCACTTTATTTTTAAAATAAACATCACATAATAAATTGATAAATTAATCAGATTCTTATCAAATCGTCATAAAATATATAAAACATATTTGTCCTTTACTGAATTAGGGTAGATATTAAAAATTACCGAATTTTGATTTTGTTTATATTATATACATTTGTTTTCTCCCATACTAATTATTAGATGTCTTCATAGTCAAACCATAAATTTTTCTCATGCTTTTTATTATTATTATTATTATTAGTCTTTTTAGTTTGAGATTTCTTCCAGATTTTTTTTTTTTTCTGTAATTTCTAATCTTGGTCATGATGATTTGATCGTTCCAAGAATAGATGCTATTTTTAGAGAAATTTTTTTCTAGATGAAATGAAATTTCCATTCAAAGGAAGTTCGTTAGAAGTTCAAAGTTTTAATAATATCTTGTTCGTAATGATGTTTCTATTAAAAGAATTATATACTTGCCAAAAATCCAGAATTTGTAAAATCAAAACCTTTTAATATTCTTTCGTAATTGATATTTCAATCTAACTTCAAGAAAAAATTCAAACTATATAAACCCTCGCTTTTTCTCCTCCCAAGAATCTTCACTTCAATCTGAAGGGAATTCATCCTCTAATTATAAATAAAAAAATTTCAATTAAAATCAAAAAGTTATCTGAGAAATACTTTAAAAATGAAGTTCAATAAAATCGCTTTATTATCTGTTATTTTAGGGGCATTCCTCCTTTACGAAGGTAAGATAAATTTAAAATTAAAATATATTCGAAATAAAAAAAATAAAAATAAATGATATTGAGTTTGTTTTCTAATTCATTATTTTATCTTTTTCTAGTAAATGCGTCACCTGTTGCTGTTGCTGAGGCTAATCGTAATAACAATAACGATCACCATCACGATCACCATAACGATCACCATAACAATAATAATCACAATAATAAACGAGACGGTTATTACCCCCCAACCCCAGACAAGCACGTCCCCCCAAGCAAGCCAAGTACCCACTATAAACGAGACGATTATTACCCCCCACCCCAAGACAAGCACGACGATTATGTCCCCCCAACCACCAAGGATGGCAAATATTAACGAGAAGCTGGAGATTATGCGGCAAACCCGAAAGCGGAGACAAACGAGACAAATAATTTTTAAATTAAATGATTATTTTTAGTAAAGTTTATAATTGTTCTTAATTTCTCGATTCCTCACATTTTAAATTGTTTCATGTTCATTGGATGACAACAAAGATTGACATTCAAAATTTATAATATAATAAAATATCAACTTTATCATTCTTCAGAAAATATTGTTCAAAAGTTTGTTATTCAAATTATTTTTTTTTTATTATAAAAAGATTGCATCGAAAGAGATTCTGATCCGCATTATGAAAACTCAAAAACTTTTTTCACGAAACAAACTGAAATGTGTATTTACCAAATAATGATGATTTCTTTAATTCCCGTTTCTAACACAAAACCATTTTCAATGTCGATAATGGTTATTAGAACCTAAATATGATCTGATGAGAATTCATTACACTTTCGGCAACATCACATTCTTGTCAGATATTAGTGCGTTACGTTGAAGAGTTTTTCTAGATAAAAGAACTCTCGGACTCGAAGAAGCGGATTTAGTTTGCGAATGACATTAGATAACGCTGAGGACAATTATTATAAACCAAACACTTCACCCAAAAAGACGTCCTTTCTTGTAAAACTAACTGTGTTAATTGTGTTAATTGAGTAAATTGAAACTTAAAAGGGAGCAGCCAATATGTTTTTGAATTTCTCATGCTTAATTATTCCATATATAAGATTTAAATTTCATATTTTAAAAGTAAATTTTAGCGCCAATAAAAAAAAATTATAACCACGATATTTAATAATTATCATAATACAAATCATGCACAGTAAAAATTTCAAAATTTACGCGACTACTTACTGTACTGTTGGAATTAATCATATTAAACATTAACACGCCTTTTGCTATTATTCCAAAGCATTTTCCGCTTTAAAGTAGCTGTTGGTTCGTTAATTTGTCGAAAACAAGGTAAAAAAAGTTTATTCTCTCATCCTTGATTTTTCAGATTCACAATCACGTGTAAACCTGCCTCAAAAAGTGACCATTTATTGGGAGAGGTTGAAACTGCGAGAAACCTTAACCTTATTTAGAATGTGCTAGAATAAAGTCGGAGAAGCTAATTCTTTCCTAACCGTTGATAAAAATCGTAAATATTATAACATAATTAATGAATCAATTAATTAGGAAACAATCTATTAAATAAGAAAGCTTGAAGTGCGTGGTATGAATTAATGAATGTTGCTTATTCTATTAACAACTTATGCGACAAATATCTGGTAAGCATTATAACATTTTATAGTGGAATTACTTCCAGTTTAAAAAATCATTATATAATAATAAATAAATAATTTTAATCTTGATTATTTATATATTACTTTTATTGACCTACGCTTCGCTCCAGACAATATACAACAATATATGATATATGAAATTTTTCTGGTTACGTGCGTTTCTCTGTCCAACTCATGTGAGTACACTTATCCAATTTTTTTTTCATTTTCTCATTGCGTTACATACAAAGCATAATAATTGTGTTAAAAACTTTTGATAAATTGTTATAGAATTATTTAAATCTTTTTCCAGGGGTTTAAATGAAAATATAAATGTTTTAATTCAAATTTAAATTAAATCAATCAATTTAACTTTAACACATTGCTTTATAAAATAATGTGCAGTATGTTTCTTAATTTTTAATACCTTCAATAGTTTTGTTTTAATATAAAAAAGGAATATTTTTTATGTATTGTTAATTTATTTGAACGAAAAAATAGCCTCATCCTATATGTTGATGTTTAATTTATAAACCGGTCAAAATAAAAGCATCGTCCAATTTGTTTATTTTTACATTTTGTGAAAAAAACAGATTGTGTCACTGCGCCCACTTAGTCACAAGATTAAAATTTGTTTCTAAGGGTTCATTTTTCCACAGGTTTATGTAACGAAGGCTTTCAAGCCAATGTTTGTAAGTCGTAATAAAAAAAAAATTTCATTTCAAATAAACGTTTTTTTGAAAGTATAATCAACCTCCATAAAATATTTCTCCATAACGGTCGAAAATTCGAAATAAAAAGCTAACTATAAAATGAACCTACTTCGTAAACATTCGACTTTGTGCTATCAATTCGTATAACACAAATGAATGCGATGGCGAAAAAAAATTTTGTTGGATCATACCCGCGAAACGGTGTCTTTAACACAATAATATCGTGTAACGCTCTAAAATCCCCATATCTGATATAAATAAAGTAAATATCCGTCCGTAATTTAAATTTAAAAAATTTTTTTTTATTTAATTTTTTATTTTTGAATTTAAAAAATAAAAAATGCGTTTTAATGAATTATTTATTCGTCATCGAAAGACGGAACCTTCATCTGTTAATCTATTAAGAATATTGATTATGATAATATTAATATCTTCCCTCACAGGATATATTGCAATTTTGATTATCGAAGTGACTAGTGACGAACCTGTTTTAACGAATACAGTCGTTGAAGCAATGGAAATACCAATTCCTGGTTTGTCTATAGAAAAAAAGCAAGAAAAGTCATAGTAAAATCTTTTTTATAAAAAATAATAAAAAGAATGATTTTTTTTTTTTTTTTTTTTTTTTTTTTTTTTAGATATTCAATTACAATTCCCTTATCCATTCGATTTGACATGTTATTTTCTTAGTATGCATTTAAAAGTAATTAATTTTTTTTTTAATTTAATAATAAATTTTGGTTATATAGGAGGATCACAAGAAATAAAACTTGATGAAAGTTGTAAAGAATATTTAGAACAACCAAAAGCTTCTTCAGAAAGCAACAATTATATCGGCTATTTTAAAAATGTCCAAAATTTAACATGTAAAACCAGAAATTGATGAAAATGCAATAATAGGCGTAAATGTAGTTGCATTAATTGTTGATTCAAATTATAATGCCACCAAAAGTCAAGACCTTATGAAATTTACTGCTACCGATTCTGGTAAATTAAGTAACTTTTTTTTTTTAAAAAAAAAAAAAATTAATTACATATTTTATTTAGAATATAATCCTTTGAGATATGAAAGTAAATTCAATGAAACAAACATTAATAAATTACCTGCATATGTTAAAGAATTATCCACAAGCAATTTTTATTATATGGTTAAAAATCAGGTAATTATTTTTATTTTTTAATTTAATTTTATTTTTTATTTTTTATTTATTTTAAGGAAAAAAAAAAGGATTAATGTAGAAATAATTGTTTAATAATCGTTATATTTAAGATGGCACGTTTACAATTTACTAGAAACATAAGAGAAACAAAGATCATCTTGGAATCGAACCAACTTATTATAGACAAGGTTACATTGTGTCCAGTATACGTAAGTAAAATATTATTATTATTTTTGTTATTACCATCATAATGTAAAGATATTTATTTTATTTTTATTTTTCGTAATAGAGAACGTTCCTTTTGATTATGAAGCTGGTGATTTTTTTGCAAGTCAAATTGTTTTAACTGTTCAAAATTTCCTTTTGAAAAAAGAGACTGAACAAAGGTATACTAATTATTTCCGACGATGTATGAATTAAAATTTAAAACAAAATCAATTAATGTAAATTTTTTAATTGTTGTTCCAAATATAGGACGCGAACTGTTTGTAATCTCTTTCCAAGTTAAATTAAAAGTTAAATTATAATTTAATAACCTTTCTGTTTCTATTAAAAAAAGTTACTTAGCGTGTTTGGACTTGTGGGCGGTGCTTGGGGTCTAGCTGCGGCATTTTACGCGACTCTATTTGGTAATCACCTTTTTTTTGTAAAAAAAATCAAAGACCAATAAGTTCATCACTGATACTTGAGATTCTTTCCTTTTCCTTAATAGGTGTAGATATAATTCGTCCATGGGGTTGTGTGCAATTTTATTGTTGTGGGATACGTAATAAAACACATAATAAACTTAAAAAATCTCTCCCGGTAATTCCGCTAGTTAAGAGTTCCGAAAGACCTCTACCTTCTTTTTCTAGGGACGTTTCTCGTGATGAGCATGCAGCCTTACAACAACGTGTTGATGCTTTGGAAGTTTTTTTAAGAGAGTATGTCGTAGACGTAAATTATTTGGAAGATGTAAAGGAAAAAGAAAATGATAATGATGAAAAGGACTTCCTACCTATAATCATAATAATAAAACAACCACCCACGACTATGTTATACACAAATGATATTTAGATCATACAAAAAAAAATAAAATTCAAAATAAATAATCGAGGGATAAATATTTAAATTTACATTAAGATATAGTCAAATAGGCTCCTCTTTCATGATATCCGCGGATTAATGTATGGGATAGCCGATTGAGTAAACGAATGAATAATCTGACTTTTTATTCAGATCTTTCATTATATTAGTTTAAATTCTATGTTTCTTAAAAATTACTTTCATTTTTCATTTCCTTCTTTTTTACATAACCGTTGGCTCTTGCTTTCTTCGCACTTTAACTTCGATATCGGGATAAATAAGGAAACTAACGTTTAAAGATAATATTTCCTAAAAGTTACCAATCATTTATTTCATTTTGTAAATACAGTTGCTTTAATCCACTATCAAATCCATCAAACGATTAATTATTCAATTTTAATGCAATTTTCAAAGGGTAGGTATTATTTTATAATAAACCTTATCGAAGCCCTTCCTAACTATAACCCTACGAAACTCTAATACAACGCCACTTTAATACAGGATGAATATTTAAGCATGTCAGATCATGCGATAAAGAAAAGGATGTAAAGATGTTATGTTGATATGAAGAGTTAAATGTTGAGTAATCGTGGTAGGAAAGGATAACATAAAAGGAAAATAAGCCTAAATTGATGATATTATTTGGAGATTTCTTTACATTTAGAACCCATATTTTTTTTGAAATATTTATATTGAATCCTTAGTCTCGGAGTAGTGCCAGAAGGTGGGTATCAGAAATCGTTAATAAATAATATTATGCTTTTGCTGCGCCAATTATAACCCAATGAAACGTCATCGCAAAATGGTTAATTAAAATAAAAAAATTTATTAAAATCGTGTGACACATATTTATAAATCATCTATAATGTAATGGAAAAGTATTATATATTTACTTTTACACCAATGAAAAACGCGAACCATCAATTGATGACGCATGTATTAATTCTAAATATTATAAATCAAATTTTTTTTTTTAACTTTCTTTTTTGTTTTATGAAAAATTTAATAATACAAATATTATCTCACAAGAAAAATGATGAAGAAAAACATAACACTATGATCTTTAATATATACTTCCAAAATTTTATGATTTACATTGCTCGTATAACTTTTCATTTTTCTTAAATATGTTAAGATTGAATTTGTTGAAGTCCTTTTCTTACAGCCAATACTGAATCCTAAAATAACAATAGATAGATATAAATTTTTTTTTTTAAAAAAAAAAGCATTATTAGGATGTACACATACCACAATAACAGCGTCTACACCGGCTTTTCTCTGTAATTGTACATTCCCCACCTCATTGTTCATTGTACCATAAGTAAACAGTAATAATCCTGCTTCCTTTATTGTCGCAACTAACTTTGGTGCCTCAATAATAGGGGCACTATTAGATACTATGCCTAATAAATCCGCATATTTTGCAAATCTTATTGCTGCTTGAATAGAGTTGCACCTCGCATCTGCAAGGGTTGTCTCTCCACAATCCGATAAGAAGAATACCGGATAATTTGGTTGTTTAAAAGCCAACATTAAACATATATCGGGATGAAAAGAGGAAAATATAATATTACGGTCTTGAGCGTTGTCATAAACGCATTGAAGAATCGTGTCCACGAAAAGGTTTAACTCTGTGTGATATGACGGTAAATCGTCAGCCTCCGCTTCGTCTATCATTGGATATTTAACTTCAATATTAAACCCGATATGAATCGGTACTTTCTGTTAAATAAAGAAAAAAAAATCAATATATATATTATATTTGAACAAAATAAAATAATATCTGCCAGATTATTCCAATTGACCTTAAAAGTTTCGACCAAGGTCGCAAACGGACCTTGAATCGAACCATCACTATTTCCTTTCAATTTCCCCATATGTTCTGAATATGCTAAAGATGTTACGGATCCAACACTATTAGATCTTTTCAATTTTTTATGATTTTGTTCACTTATACTACTAGGGTTAAAAGAAAATTCCCTACGATTTAATAAAAGTTCATCAGATTTTTGATTATTCACAGTTTTTTGCTTTTTTAAATTCAGGAACTGCTCAAGGGTAATGGCATGAATTGGAATATCATAGCCAGTTTCTGTGATAGTCCAATCATGATAAATAACCGGAACATGGTCTTTTGTAAGTTGAACGTCAAATTCAACATACTCTGCTCCAAGTGATGCTGCCGTAATAAAACTAATAAGAGTATTTTCTCCTATTTGTAAATTTGGAGTTCCTGCCCTATTCATACCAAATCCACGATGTCCGATAACTTTGGTAGTAAACGACCTTCTATATGTATGCTTATTACCAACGGCAAGGTTCTCGTTTTTGAACGGCTTAACGATTAGAAACTCAAAAATCACCCGTCCAATAACTTCCAATGTGCCCATACCAAGAATCGGAACAGTCACATAACCCATTAAAGAACTATGTTGCGAACCTGAAGAAGTTTTCACGGATGAGAGTAATGCACAAGCACGTCCGATTGATTGCTTTTTTGTACCAAAAGCGGGTACAATATCAAATGTCAAAATAACTTCATCTATATTAGATGAATAAAACATGATTGGATCAATGACGGTTTTATTAACTGGAAGATCCATAATAGCTGGTTCTCCGGTGGCATTCTTCGCAGAAACTACAAGTGAAATTAACGTCGGTGGCATCATGGAGATAGACGTATTGTATAATTCTACCGGGACATTATTTTTACGAGTATCGGTATTTCCAAGAGTTACAAGAATCAAAGATTGATCTTGTAGATATTTATGACCATATGCAAATTCAGCTGAAGCAACGTTTGAAATTGCTGAATTAATCTCAACATTTGCAATTATAGGTGATGGATTAGGTTCTTCGAACGCAGTTAGAGGACACAAAATGTTTTTCACTGCATAATGTCCTCGGAACACCGCATGTATATGTGGAGTCCAGCCAGAATAGTCCATCACATTAGGATCAGCGCCTGCTTCTATTAGCACTTTGACACACTCTGTGTGACCTTCTACAGCTATTTTAATATATATATATATTGAATGAATAATCAAACGCAGATATATTTTAATCATTTTAACTCTTACCTGCTAAAAACAAAGGTGTCCATCCATAAAATTTTTCTTTAATCTCCATATTTGCTTTTTTAAAATTGGTGTTTAAATCATCACGTGAATTCTGATGTTCCGTGCTATCATCTAATCCGACCAATAACCTCACACAATCATCAAATCCGTTACGAGCAGCCAAATGTAACGGAGTTTCTCCCTCTTCATCCTGGATATCGGGGTCAGCACAATAAACGAGCAAAAGTTTTGCTGTTTCAATATGGCCAAATTTACAAGCCGTAGCGAGCGGAGTTTGTGTACGATTATGCGAAAAAATATATGACGATACATGGGCGGATGGCATTACGTATTGACTTACAGCAGGATTGATCGTGGTGGGTGTAGAATTAATTGATCCATAAGACGGAGAAGAATCGGCAGCTAAATATGGCGATATGTATTAACAATAAACCAAATAAAACCACAAATATCATTTTTAATATTCTATTACCGTTACTAATAGCATCAATATTCTTCATATTGCTCCCCTTAATTATACAATCCACAACTTTAGTATGTCCACGTCGAATTGCATAAAATAACGGCGTAAACCCATCATTATCAAACCAGGAAGGATCACTAAACCCTTGCTCTAAAGAAAACTGTCCAGTTCTGATTACAAATTCCAAAAGCAGTCCAGTGATTTTTTCAAATCCATTAATGGCCGCGTAATGCAAAGGTCTTCTACCAAAAGCGTCGGCAGACGAGACATTTGAATATTCTGCTTGAGGAATATATTCAAGGATCCAAGAAATTAAATTTATATCTTCACAAACAACTTCACTTTGAAAATTTTGCATTTGAAACGTGGTAACAGAATATATCATTTGTCCCTCTGAGCTATTGCCGTTATTTATCGGGGAGCAAGATGTTGACGTTAAAGATGAAGAATTATCTAGTGGTAATTTACCACCATTTATCGCCAATTTATGAATCATTGAACGCTCATTGATATCATAATCATCAGCTATACTGGCTCCAGATTCGAGAAGTAATTTTATACACTTCATCGCTCCAAAATAACATGCTTTATAAAGCATCGACGTTAAGATCTAGAAATATATAAAATATATTGTAAGGGAATTATCCCATTAAAAAAAAAAATTATATATATATACTTTTAAGTCCGAATCAACTAGATTTATCAAATTTTGAAGGATATCTATATTATCGTTATGAAGTGAATCCGACAACATCTTGATGTGTTCTTCGGTCAAATTGATTCGTAGAAGGCGAGCTTTTGTCGTGGATTTGGTATCATGATGAGGATTTTGTTCATATTCCGTTACTCGACGTTGAACTTCTTGAATCCAATGTTCATTAGAATCCAACATGTCAATAAGTAATGAACCTGACGCAAACGGAAGTTTATCGACCTACAAAAGAAAATAAGGTATTAGAAAATTTTTTACATCATATGAGGTACTTAATAATTTTAATTCAATGGGATCCATAAGTGAAAAACCAAAATTGTATGTATCTCTTACAAAGAAATATAAATAGCATTCATATAATTATAATTATGATGAGGTTGAATAATTTTGGTGTCGATTCCGTGGGTCAAGTTGCTAATAAACAAAGGGTTCTCTTAAATAATAACGAACCTTTGTTTGTAAATAAAGGCATTTAGCATCTCTACCTAATTTCTTATCAAATCTACAAATTAAATAAAAGGTCAATGTTAATAATCAAAGAAAGCATAATACTGTAGATCACTAAATATTTCTTACTTTTTCAGAATTTTAGAAAACCCTTTGATATTCAAGTCTGCAAAATATAAAAGTTTGTGAACTTTATCTTTAGTTTCCATCAATACGGATAATAATTCTGTATCCGCATATGGATCGAAAGAATGAACATTAGATCCATGATCAATCGAGTTAAAATCGATAGATGAACTATTTAGCGAAGGACGATATTTTTCTGACAAAATTCTTAAACGACGTTCTATTTCGGCACATTTGTATAAAAAGAAATTGTTGACTTTCTCGAGTTCACTGTCAAGCGTGAAAAAGAAGGCTAATGACAAAATAATTAGAGTTATTGAAGAATTGCAAAATTTAAACCAATAATAATAAGAACACTTTTGAACGAAAAAAATTTAACCAAATTTTATCAAACTCACCAACTACACTGTCATCGTCAACGGTCGTTCCGCCTCGCGAAGTTGTTTTAACAGTATTATTTATGAACTTCTTTAAAGCTTTATAGCTTATATAATGCCTATAATATATATTCAACAAATAATGTTATTGCTAATAATAAAGCAAGGTTTATTAATAAGAATTAAATGTACCTTGACCACTCTGGTATGTGATTTTTCAATAAAGTCTTTCCGAACTTCATAACGTGTTAAACTAAAATCCGCTCGGTAAAAGACCTTACGAGTTTTTATACATGTATAATCATTATTTGTAATTTGAAGTCAATTTTGGTGACAGGAAGGGAAAACATACTTGGATCTTCAGTGTTGATAATGTTTATAATGTTTTCAAAATCTTAATCCAATCAACTTTACACATGGAAAAAAAAGGTTATGGGGCGCAATGATTTCGTAATCTATGATACCGAAGATCATCTTTTATAGACCGTTAGACTCATCTGAACCAAATCTTATAATCGACATTAATTATTCCTTTAATAATGATATTTGGCGTAAAAAAAAAAAAATATTAATAAAAATCAGGCGAAATTGATCTGTTTAGGAATTGGTACTGACAATTAATTATATTCATAAAAAAAAATGATTTCTATCTGATTTATCTTATCTTATAGTAAGTAATTAAAAGATTTTATATTTTGAATTGGATGTAAAGATATTTAAATTATTTTAAGTTTCTATTATTTAAATGCTAAGCATAAAATTTCAACTTAGTAAAAGATAACTGAAAATATATATTTTGATAAAAAAATTTAAATAAAATAAAAATCTTTTCAAAATATTATTTTAATAATTATAGTAAAATTAAAAGTTAAAATTAATTAAAGATGTTAAATAATCCAATAAATTTGTCTAATAATAATGTATTTATTAAATATATTTTATTCAACTATTGATTAGGTAAACTGAAACATATAATTAATTAAGTAGAAGCAAGATTTAACTCATTCTTTACAATAATTTGAGAGAGATTTTAATTAAAATAAACTCAGTCCAATTCTTATGTTCTTTTAGGACTAAATTTTTGAATTGATAAGTATAAAGATTTTCAATTTATTATATATGGTTTGTAATTTCTCTTATTATTAGAAAAATACTTTGATAACGAATGATTTGTAATCAAAATGATAATACGTAGCTAAAATGATTATAATAAGAATGTTAACACTAAGCATAATATTAATATTAAGCAAATTGTTAACACTAAATATAGTTGACTTAAAGTATAGATGATTCAAAGTATAGTTGACTCAAAGTAAATTGATAATACAAAGCAAAATTGATTCAAAACAAATTGATGATATAAAGTAGTGTTAATACAAAGTAGATTGATAATACTAAATAAGTTGTTTTATATAAGATAATTTTGCAAAGGGTTTTATTATCTTATAAAATTAACTTTCTAAATTTCTATTGATATATGATGAAAAACTCAGCTTATTTTTAATATAATTTTTCCATTAAGTTGCTATTTATTAAATAAAAACTATGTAATAATCTTTATATGTAATTCTGCTATAATAATTGAATAATAACTATCTAATCATTATGTAATAATCCTATAATTTATATTTAAAAAAATATAAAAAATATAATTATATTATTCTTTAATTATTACTATATATTAATACTTAGCCTTTAACTCATTATTCCTTAAAATTCTCTTTTGGTATTTTTAGTTTAAAAGGTTATATATGTTATTATGAACTAATGATCTATTATTTTATTTTTTTATTAATTAAATTGATTAACTTTATAAATTATTTGTATAAATCATTATATTATAGATTTTGTAAATTAATTTTTGTGATTTATATAGAAGCTTTGCAGTAGAAAGAGAGAAAACTTCTAAAAAATTTTATTTTTGAGTTAATGTTAAATCTGGACTTATTTTACTAAAAAAAAAATCATAATTAGCTTAGAAAATAAAATTTTAATTTTTTTAGAGTTTCTTTTCTTTTTACTGCAAAGCTTTCATATGTTCATCATATTGTAAATTATTTTACTATATCATAATTTTTATTTCATGAAAATTATTTGGATTATAATAAATTAAACTTATATGTAAATCCATTTTAAACTTAGAATCTAATCTTAAAGTTTGGGCTTTATCTTTATATTACTTTTAAAAGTTATTCATAAATTTATTATAATAATTTTCTATCAAAAATTACTTATTATAGATAAGTAATTAAAATTTTTTATAACTTATAACTTTTAAATTGTTCATAATTATTTAAAACCATTTAATATCTCTAAAATTAATACATAAAAATAAATTATTAACTGAATTTTATAACTTGTAAATTTCTTAAATTTACATGATTTTTAAATTATTTATTTAAAATATATAAAAAAATAAAACTAATAAACAGTATATATTTAAATTATTCTATTATCTAATATATCTAATATAACATCTCTTAATTATATTTATCATATTAAATATATTAGAAATATCAAAAATATCAACATATTAAATATATCAGGTTTATCAATAATCTGTATCATATATATATCATATATATTCATATATAATACTTAAAATTTAAATTAATTATAAAGAAATTAGTTTTAAAATTAAATTTATATTTAATTTATTTAATAAACTATATATTACTTTTATAAAATAATACAGAATATTCTTAAAAATTAATTCAAAAGATATTTAAATATATAAATAATTTCTTTTATCACAATTGTATTTCAAACTTAATAAAACTATTTTTTAAATAATTATAATAAATAATAATAACTTTAATTATATATAATTATATAATTTTATATGAGTAGTTTATTTAGTTTATTTCATTTATAATATTAAAATAAATAACTTATTTATATATAATATTAAAATTATTTATTTTTTAACTTTTTTTTATTTTAATTAAAGTATTATATTTATAATAAATTCAAAAATTTTATGATTATTAACAATATTTACATAAAATAATTAATTTTTATTATTAGATAAATTCTTTTATAAAAAAAAGACAAATAATATTTTATTAAAAAAGAATCTATATAATATTATTTAAAAGTATTAAGTTTATGATAAATTTGATGCAATAATAATATTTTCATATTTTATGAAGTTTATGATTAAAATTCAAATTATATTATTATATCACGTTTAGAAAGATTATTCAATAAACTTATCAGAATTTTCTAAATGATCAGCTTAAACTTTAGCCTAAGTTTCATGATATTATTATATATGAAAATACAGTAAAAATAAATTATTATAAAATACCATTTAGTTTATTTATTAGTATTAACAAATCAAGAGTATTTATTCACTTAAATTTTAATTAGAGTTCTGAATGAGTTGAGCTAACTTTTGAGCCAAATGAGTTGAATCAAGTTAAAAAAAATTTGATTCGTTTAACTTGAATTGAGTTTAAAGTTAAGCTTGATTCGACTTATGATAATTTGAGCTAAACTCAAGTCTAAAGTTGAGTAAAACTCAAGCATAAATTCAAGCCTAAAGTTAAGCAAAACTCGAACCCAAAGTTGAGTTAAACTGGAATAAAAATTTAATAAATTTTTTTAAAAAAAGTATAAAAAAATCATTCAGATAGAACAATATACATAATTTTAAATAAACAATAGAAGTTTCATTCTGATAGAATAATAAATCATCATTCTATAAGAATGATAAAAAAATCATTCTGATAGAACTATAGTATATTGTTCTTAAGAAATAATAGAAAAATTGTTCTAATAGAACAATAATACATCATTCTAAAGAAAGTGATAGAAAAAATCATTCTGATAGAATGATAATACATTATTCTAAAAGAATGATAAAAGAATCGTTCTAATAGAATGATAAAAAGTATCATTCTAAAAGAATGATTTATTATTATTCTTAAGAAATGATATTATTATCATTTCAAAAAGAACTATTTATTATCATTTCAAAAAGAACTATTTATTATCATTCTTAAGAAATGATTTGATTATTATTTCAAAAAGAATGATTTATTATCATTCTTAAGGAACAATTCAATTATCGTTCTAAAAAGAATGATTTATTATTATTCTTAAGTAAAGATGGAAACTGTAATTAATATGTTGCAACTTTTAATGTTGCAACTTACGTTGCAATTAGTTTTAACCTATATATGTTGCAACTTATAATGTTGCAACATATGTTGCAACTAATTTTAGCTTATGTTGCAACATTTTGTAAATTTGAAATTAATTGCTGTACCATCTTTACTTTTAAGTGCTGATGCGTGGCAAGAAAGAATTTTGACCAGTACAATTCCATGCGAACAAACGAAAATAAGAAAATACCCTGGGGCATATGTATTCCTGCCAGAAAAAGGTCTTGAGAATAAACGTCCTGTCACAGGTTTGGACTTCACCTCCTTATACCCCAGCTTAATTATGACATATAACCTCTCGTCAGATAAAATTATTTTATCTCGAAAGCATGCCAAATCTCTAAAGGATAGGGTAAAAAGCTTCATAAAATAAATTTCAAATTCAATAATCGGGATGTTCTCACGTGGTCTATAGAGCATGAAAACCAGGCTGAAATGAAAGGTCTTTATTCAAAAGTATTAGAGGGGTTGCTAATTAGATGAAATTCAATAAAAAAACATCTTGCTCTATTAAAGGATAAAAAGGAAGAATTAGAAAAGGAGATTAGTTTGGCGGAAGCAAGGGTGAGGATGTTACAGATGCTTTAAAATCTGAATACTCTTCAGTTTCCTTCAATGCTTCTTATCATGACTCCAAACAACTCGCTTTAAAATTGTATATAAATTCGTTTTACAGTGAAGCGGGGAATAGTGACTCCCCTTTTTTCTTGCGAGCATTAGCAGGTAGAGTAATATCAGCTGGATAGCGGAATATCAAGCTTATTGCTGACCTTGTCAGAAGTAAAGGGTTTGGCGTAAAATATGAGGATACCGATTCATTATACCTTGTTTGTCCAGAAGAATATTTCCGGGAGTGTGATGAGAAACACATTTCAGAAAAGATATCGAAGGAAAAATACTAGGAGGAGATGGTGAGAATATCTATGAAAGCAATGAGCGAACTCTGGGGTGAAGTTAATGACTTTCTCAGTGCAGATAACAGTTTCCCTTATCTTAAAATAGCATATGAGGAGGTCTTATTTCCAGTAGTATTTACTGGAAAAAAAAATACTTTGCCATTCCGCATATAAACAAGCTGAACTTTAATAACAAGCTTTTCATCCAGGGAGTCGAGACTGTAAAGCGGAGGCAGTCTAAATACTTCCGTGAGGTGGGTAAAAAGTTCATGGATGAATCTATAAGGCTGAATAATACTCGCACCTTGCATCGAATTGTGGAGGACGTGCTCAAAGAGACCATAAATGGTATTTCACAGATAGATCTTAATGAATTGGTTAAAACTGCTGTGTGGAGGCCTGATAAAAATAACAAGAGTGTCCAGCGTTTCATTTCACGAATGCAAGATAGACATACTCGTGAAGAAGTAGACGCAAAACGGCTCATAAAAAAGGGTCTAACATCTGAGCCTTATCTTTATGAAATCCCAGAACCAGGCGAACGTTTTGAGTAGGGTTTCGCAATTCGATTTGACATTTGAATATTTGATTTGAAAATCAAATCAAATACAAATTCAAATTTATATTTGATTTGATTTGATCAAATTCAAAT